AAAGCAAAGGGCAAAGGGAGCGGTCATCCAGATTCTTGACGAGCCGCCCTAAGCTTTCGTTCCGAAGTAAGACCATTCAAGAAGCAATCACCTCGTTCTTTGGAACTGGCGTCTCCGTACATTTTTCAGGCGAATCAAGAGTTGGGTGTGAGAATCAATCGCAATAAATTTACCCCTCACAGGAACTCGTCTGGAGATATTCTATGGAGTCAGTAAAGAGAAATCCCTCCCAAACGCATATGTTAATTTAGCACTATACCACCCATCGTTCCGATTTTACCATCCCAACCCCCAACATTTTTTCCGTCGATCTTGTTTTCCGTGCTGAGCACCAATGCTACCGACGTGCCAGGAAGGCAGCTCCCACACCTGGACCCTACCTATCGACCCATCAACTCATGAACCGGGGACCAACGGCTTTACTTCCCATCCGAAGGAAGGCGTGATCAGAGATGTTATGCCTCAGAACATCCCGGCGGCGCCGACTGGGATTGAACCCAGGCCTGTTGGGGTGAGAGGTAATCATGCTTACCCCTACACCACCGGGGCCGTTAGCTGGGAAATAATGGAAAATAAATTAGCTTGGATACTAAATTGAATAACTTTCTTATTTCAAGACAGTACTCCATCTTCAACAAAAACATCATGAAATGTTGTTAGTCTCCATAAGTATGAAATCTTAATGACAAATACAACAGCACCTACCTAAATTGCTCTATACAATATAAAATGTACTCAAATTAAAAATTGCATTCAAAATTCAACTCTTTCACACTAGAAATAGATTTGTGGCCCTGAAAAGGGCCGATTGATTGTTTAGTTTGGTACGAATCTACTTGGAGCTGGTATATTTGGTGACGGCCTTGGTTCCTTCTGAGACGGCGTGCTTGGCCAACTCACCCGGCAGCAGCAGACGGACAGCGGTTTGGATTTCGCGGGAAGTGATCGTCGAGCGTTTGTTGTACTGAGCCAGACGGGACGACTCAGCAGCGATACGTTCGAAGATGTCATTGACGAAGCTGTTCATGATGCTCATGGCCTTCGACGAGACTCCGGTGTCCGGGTGGACCTGCTTCAACACCTTGTAGATGTAGATGGCATAGCTTTCCTTCCTGCGCGACTTCCTCTTCTTCTTGTCTCCCTTGACGATGGCCTTCTGAGCCTTGCCGGACTTCTTTGCGGCCTTTCCACTGGTTTTTGGTGCCATAGTAAAGCTGTTGAGTTGGGTAGAGAAACACTAATAATTTCGCTTAGACGATGGTGTCTCGTTTTATATGCTACGGGTATAAACGACGGTATGTATTTTAATCAAAAACCAGTGTTATGCTACCCAGTGTTATGCTACCCAGTGTTATGCTACCCAGTAGACTGATGCAAAATTTTACTTTTTCGCTCCACAGTGCTTAAATGGTTTCAAATCGGGTCCTAATTAGCCTCCCAAAGTTACAACTCATTTGGTTAGAAACAGACTTCGCACAAGCCATTTGAAGTTTGCATGTAAATTCCTATGGGAAATCTCAAATTTTTGTTTATTGCCTGTTAGTCTTTTTCCATATAGGGCTGCGAAACAGTTCGATAGTCATTCTTATAGAAAATTTTCTCAGCTACAACTTTGGTGAAGATCGTTTCTGTGTAAAACGGGACAGGAAAAAGTTATTAATTATTTAAGAGATTGGTAAACTTATGACATGATCAAGCAGCTGCTCTGTAGGCAACACTGTATTTTGCAGTGTGACATAGTAGCCATGATTTTTGTGTCCTATTCAACGCCCCAGAAACACCAATGTTGCCTGCTGAGCAGTTGATTGAGCATGATCATAAGACATCAGCGCATTGAACCATTGATAACTTTCGATCCTTGCATTTAATCAAAAAGTGATTTTCAGTAAAGTTGTAGCTGGGAAAATTTCCTACAAGTACAGTTGAAAGTTTTTGAAACAGACAGATAAAGTGAATTATTAGATAGACATGAACAAAAATCTTGGTTTTACCATAGTAATTCCAATACAAAGTTCAAATGGTTTGTGCCATCTCAGTTTCTCACCAAATGGGTTCAAATTTTGAGAGGTTTACCAAGATCCGATTTGGAATCGTTTAAGTATTGTGGAGCGAAAATTTCAAATTTTGCATCAGTCTACTACCCAGTGTTATGCTACCCGCCTTATACTCATAATATGCTGCTCGACGCAGGTATAAGAGCACCATCCAAGAGCTAAAACGACATCAGTATACGTTCAGCATTGAGTTGCTCATTTTATTTTCACATCGTTATCTACCCTACTACATCGAACCATGTCTGGCCGTGGCAAAGGAGGAAAAGTTAAGGGAAAGGCAAAGTCCCGCTCGAGCCGCGCTGGATTGCAGTTCCCAGTCGGTCGTATTCACCGTCTGCTCAGGAAGGGCAACTACGCCGAGCGCGTTGGTGCCGGTGCTCCCGTCTACCTGGCTGCCGTGATGGAATATCTGGCCGCTGAAGTTCTGGAGTTGGCAGGAAACGCCGCCCGTGACAACAAGAAGACCAGAATTATTCCACGTCACCTGCAGTTGGCCATTCGCAACGACGAGGAGTTGAACAAACTGCTGTCCGGAGTGACCATCGCTCAGGGTGGTGTCCTGCCAAACATCCAGGCCGTCCTGTTGCCCAAAAAGACCGAAAAGAAGGCTTAAATTTGGTCAGAGACCACACCCATCATACAAAACCGTCCTTTTCAGGACGACCAATTTGATTTTCCTATCTAAAGAGTTTGTTGTATTGGCATTTCTTATGATCGAAATGAGGGAATATTTTCATTGTCAAAATTATTTCAGTCTTTCATTCCTATGAAAGACAGTAAAATTAGAGATGAAACATGTTTTCTTTGTTGACTATTGCATATAAATACCACCCGTGATTTAATAACTCTGGACAGCTATTCTAGGACCTCTGGTGTGAATTGATGCAGTGGAAAGAAATTAATTCTCTCGTCATTTTTCAAATAGACCAATGTAATATATCCACCATTTTGAGAAAATCGAAGTTGAAGTTCGACAGATTATTATTTTAACTGTTTAGAAACAATACATTTTGCAAAACTATTTTTAATGTACTGACATTGAAAATTCAGTAGAAACAGTACACACTAAGATTTTTTTACAGGAGTCAGTATTTTTTACTGGGTTTTTGAATTGCTGAAAAAGTCGGTAAAATTCAAATGACCGTTATCAGTAAAGAATCAATGAAATTGACCAATTTTATTTTCTATCATTAAATGGAGTTAACAAAACTAAGTATGTACAAGTTCAGAACAAATTTTCTAATTAATAAATTATCCACAGATTTTTAAACTTTTACCGAACAGTTCCGCAATTCAAAAACTCGGTAAAACCGTACTGACTCGATTAGTGTGTATACAATATAGCAAAAACCATATAGGAAGTTTTGATTAGTCAAGTTGTACATCGGACATGTTACATTGGACGATTTTTCTCAATGACATAATCAATTAGTATTACATTTGACGATTTGTTCTACATGATACTAGATTCCCATTCACAGATGTCATAGTAGAGTATCTAACTTTAGATTGGCCCCACCTTTAGAAAATGAGCACCATTCATGTAAGGTAGTCCGAATGACCGAAGTTACAAACATGTACCCATCATTTCAAACTGTACATTGGACAATTTTTGAACAACGATTATCTTAAATAAATGAAAGTAAATTTGAATGGATGTTTTTGTATCGCATACAATGAAAGAAGAGCAATAGTTTGTATCGCTTAACTCGATTTGTTTACATTTGTTACATTGGTCTATTTGAAAAGTGACGCGAGAATTAACAGAAAAAGAGCAGATGACGGCTGAGATTAAAGTTCAAGTGAGGCGATAAATAGTGCTGTGCGTAATGTTCAATTTGAAGTGTGGTGTGATATTTATAATGATTGATTAGGCAGTAGTAACCCGACTGGAATGAATGATCGTTATGTTTAAAATCCCATAAAAAAAACAAAGACATCAACAGTAGTAACCATGGAACTGAAATAACTCCTTGACATAGGTTAACTGGATCCCGGTAAGTGTTCATTAATCTCCGCTTTGGAAGTGAACTGTTTGCCTGCAATAAATTGAGTAATTTTCTGACTTGTAACATCAAAAGAGGTTTTCCTCGAACAGCTAGTTCTGAAGAAGCTATGTATTGTATAGGCACTCCAAAATGGTTTTATCTTACTGTTATACGATATGCAATATGCGTTCAATTTGTCGGGGTTCATGTGTCCTGTAGTTCACTTTCTGACGCGCATATAGTTACGGTCTTCTGACGCGTATTTAGTTACGGTCAAATCCTGCCTAGGGTTTGGTTTCCTGATTTCGAGAGCAACAAACATAAAACACTGGTTCGGGTATATCTCATGTAGAGCAGCAAGCATATGGGTCGGGTTGGCAAATCATCGCAGACTGGCCCTGCACACCACTGGTGCACAGTACGGTACGTTCGTAGACAGCGAGCGAGCGCTGCGACACCATACGAGTGCACCTCCTCGTGGTACAGAGTCCACAAAAAACACACACAGGCTAACGTGCTCGGTTGGCCTGAGCCAGCGGCTGGGAAGTCGTCCCACAAGGACACACGTTCGATCTGAACTACCCAACAAACATTGAATGTAAGACAAGAGCTAATTCAGGCAAAAACAAGCTTCTTCACCCAAAAATGGTTTATTCAGCTGTTGATCAAATCAAATTGTTTGTTGGGTACTCGAATTCAATACCTATTGATGGGTGAATCATACAGTAATGATCCTTCTGCAGGTTCTCCTACGGAAACTTTGTTATGACTTTAACTTTTTTTTCTAAATCATCAAGTTCGGTCAACTGCTGTACGATGTGTAATATGCGTTCAACTTGTTGGTGTTCATGTGTCCTGCAGCCTTAACTGGCTTGCTGAAAGCATTCTCAACTCTCTTGTGGAATGTTTGTAGTGGCCCTGAAAAGGGCCGTTTTGTAAGGTTGCGACGGAGAGATTTAAGCGCGTTCACCACGGATACGACGAGCCAGCTGGATGTCCTTTGGCATGATCGTGACACGCTTGGCGTGGATGGCGCACAGGTTGGTATCTTCAAACAGACCGACCAGATAGGCCTCGCTGGCTTCCTGTAGGGCCATGACGGCCGAACTTTGGAAGCGCAGATCGGTCTTGAAGTCCTGAGCGATTTCACGGACCAGACGTTGGAAAGGTAACTTGCGGATCAGCAGTTCGGTCGATTTTTGGTAACGGCGGATCTCACGCAGAGCGACGGTTCCTGGCCGGTAGCGATGAGGCTTCTTCACTCCTCCGGTGGCTGGAGCGCTCTTGCGAGCGGCTTTGGTGGCCAGCTGTTTGCGAGGAGCCTTGCCTCCGGTGGACTTACGAGCGGTCTGCTTAGTACGAGCCATTATGCTTATATTCGATGCGAAAACGATGAGTCGATGCTGTTGAATAAAAATGTGAACCGTCTTCCCCTCTATTTTATAGCATACTTTTTCTATGTTCAACCAATCACAAATCATGGAAGAACAAGAGTACAACGACTAACAAGAAGAAATTAACCCCCGAGTGGGTATAAAAGAGGCACTCATTGTCGGAGAAAGCATCACATTCGTTTCAACCGTATCCGAAGACAGCATCAAACAGCATAAACAATGACTGGACGTGGCAAGGGAGGCAAAGGACTCGGTAAAGGAGGTGCCAAGCGTCATCGCAAGGTTCTGCGTGATAACATCCAGGGAATCACCAAGCCCGCCATCCGTCGTCTGGCTCGTCGTGGTGGTGTCAAGCGTATCTCTGGTCTGATCTATGAGGAAACCCGAGGTGTGCTGAAGGTTTTCCTTGAAAATGTGATCCGGGATGCCGTCACCTACACTGAACATGCCAAGCGTAAAACCGTCACGGCCATGGACGTTGTCTACGCTCTGAAGCGTCAGGGACGCACTCTGTATGGCTTCGGAGGTTAAATCAGCATCATCAACTCTGGCAAAAAACGGCCCTTTTCAGGGCCACAAAATGCATTAAAAGAGAGCTTTAATTTGCAACTTTAAATTGTGCTGTAGCAGTAGTGGTGATAAACTTGAGATCTGTCAAATTGCATATATTTTCAAGTTTGTGATAAGAAAACTATGCTTTACGTGTTGTTGAAGTAATGGCTTTATTCAATAACAAATAGCAAATATGAACAGAAATGTAGCACCGGTAAGAATGGTAAGTAAATCCTTATTCCCCTAATGTTTCCAAGTAATTTTAACAATGTTTTTACAAGATTCAAACTGAAAATGAAATCCAACAGGATCATACCATCGGAGATTTTGCGGTAATATATTGTTCCATCCGCAGAGCTGAAATCACGCCTGGTTTGGTAGGTTCAGACGAACGGGATAACAAAGGTAGTACCAAATGTACCTGTGTCACAGACGGCATTGGATAGTTTGCCTGATCACCAGGAATATAACCGAACGGAAACCGTTTCGTCTCTGGCATCCTTGATGAAAAACAAAGCTAACGGATTGCAAATGTAAATCCGATGGAATCAAGCGAAAACTGGTAGAAGAGATGGTCAATCGGGATCCCGGCAAGTAAAGTTGGTCTTAGGAAAAGAAGCATTGATCAGAATGATAAGTAGAATTCGATATTTAAGTGCTAACTTTTTGAAAAAAAAATGAGCATGATTACGAAAGATGCCACCGAGCCCTAGTTTGAGCATGACTTACGATTAGGAATACCTATTGCTAGATTTGGTCAATATAGGATGTATATAGTATAAATAGTAAGTTTAAATTGGGTTCGGAAGAAAAGTAAACAAATTAAAATAAACAGAACAACATGATATTGTTCGAACTGTTAAACCAACCGATAAGAGGGAATAATTTGTAACATTTACAATAGCAAAATTAACCCGAACACTAAAAAGCAGTATTAAACAAAAACGACTAAATAAACTTTAATGTAATGCAAATAAAAAGGGATATTTTTTTCAGCAATTTTATGATAACGATCGAAAATAAACATACCGAACAAGACAAGACAAACACCTATATTCTTGGTTAAATTCAATACATGCATACATTTAATAAGCTACCACAAAAAAAACCACACATATTACGAATAGGCTTTTGAAATTTCGATTTAAAAAATTCCATTGCCACTTTATATTCTTTTAAAATCCTACTGTTCCGTTTTCCAGATTCTTGGGTGTAAAATATGTATACATTGTTTCAAAAATCAGGCGAATACAATTATCCATTCCATAATTTTTGCATATTTCTTTTGACATGCGTTTTGCACACTGGATACAGACTAGCTATGGTTGATTTTCGACTCTTAAATATTTATTTATTATTTTTATTTTGAATTCGAGATTGTGAACTGTCTTCAACATCGACAAAACTATAAATTTTCAAATGGCTTATTGAAATCAAACTGCTTTTATACGTTGTTGAAGGTCCTTCTTTTTACTATCTTCAAGTTGGCCCTTCTCGATAGTGAGCTTCGTACTGATTCGCAACTGTCGTTTTGGTTTACTGATATGTTTCTTTACGATAAGTTATTCTCGTATTGTACATATGTCGACGACCATCAAGGTAAAGAAATTTGGTTTAAGCTTTTGTGTTTCAAGCGAACAGCCTTGCGTTTCGAATCAAATCGACGATTTTTTCAACTTAATACGTATAACTTACGATTAGTTCATATTTAACTTTTCAAGGCCCGACCTAGTGTTGAGTGATTTATTTTACTATAAATTTGTGGGTGATGGTTTTTATAGTCGCATACTCCCAAATAGCATATTAACACAAAAATGTCATAGTATTGTTTTTTTTGCAGTCTCGTGCCAAAAGTTGGTGTAGAAAATGAGCTCAATGATAAAATGAAGCCACTTCAGCAGGATTAGGAGTAAAATGATGATAAAATTCCATTGTGTATAGACTGTTTGTGCATTTCAAGGGATTAATATTATATCAGGCCTGTTTTGAATAATCCCCATCTTTTTGAATTCATACACACTTAAATAACTAATTTTACACGTGACGGAATCAATTTTGGACATGAAAGGTGAAACGAAAACAAACATGTAATGTAATATTAAGTGCTCCGAGACTGAAAAGTTCGTTGCTCGATGAAAAGTACGTTTGATTGAGCTATATTTTGCGTTGGTTATGACTAAAATTTATATCAAAATTGACGCTCGTACATGCCACTCTCAGAGCACCTAAATGTTCAAAAGTGCGTAGTTTGATATAATGCCTTTTCAGCTACACAAAACTAGGGTTCTTTTTGCCTGTGCCTTGCAGCATGTTACAAATACAAGGAGGGTACAATGCATACAGTGGGTAGCAAAATACATAAAAGGGTACGAGCTTCGGTTGTTATGCTACGGGTATAAAACGAGACACCATCGTCTAAGCGAAATTATTAGTGTTTCTCTACCCAACTCAACAGCTTTACTATGGCACCGAAAACCAGTGGAAAGGCCGCAAAGAAGTCCGGCAAGGCTCAGAAGGCCATCGTCAAGGGAGACAAGAAGAAGAGGAAGTCGCGCAGGAAGGAAAGCTATGCCATCTACATCTACAAGGTGTTGAAGCAGGTCCACCCGGACACCGGAGTCTCGTCGAAGGCCATGAGCATCATGAACAGCTTCGTCAATGACATCTTCGAACGTATCGCTGCTGAGTCGTCCCGTCTGGCTCAGTACAACAAACGCTCGACGATCACTTCCCGCGAAATCCAAACCGCTGTCCGTCTGCTGCTGCCGGGTGAGTTGGCCAAGCACGCCGTCTCAGAAGGAACCAAGGCCGTCACCAAATATACCAGCTCCAAGTAGATTCGTACCAAACTAAACAATCAATCGGCCCTTTTCAGGGCCACAAATCAATTTCCAGTGTAAAAGAGTTTAATTTTGAATGCAATTTTTTAGTTTGAATGTAGGAGAGGTTAGGGTTAAATGGGCAGATACTTTTATCGTCGGGAAAACGTTAAATATCACGGTTCTGATCATGTGCCTCTTATTTTAAGACAATATAATCATTCAGTGAGTTTCTTAACGTTGCAATTGATGCAAACATAACAAGGTCCATCAGCTCAACATGCATTTTGAAGTTATTTTTATATAGTCGTTTTTAAGAATTCTAAAAGCAAAAAGTGCAAAAACTGAAAATAATCACTATCTAATTTTAAAAGTGCACAGTCGGTAAAGATGCAGCTCTAAAGCAAGACCATGCTAGAGGCGGCTGAGTTCAATTCCTGGTCCGTTCTAGGCATTTTTTGGGTTGAAACCTTTCTCAACTTCGCTGCGCATAGTGTATGACTGTACTAGCCACTCAATTATACTAATGCAAATGTTGTACAGGTACCTAAAGCTATCAACTAATAACTGTGGAAGTGCATCTAGAACACCTAAGTTAAGAGGACACAACATCCGATAAGCAATAAGCTTGAAATGCGAAGAAGAGAACAAGGCTACTTTTACGTAGAGTAAACAACTCTATACTTATGGAGCTTATCAAACTTCTATCCTTGAAATGTTGAAGCAAGTACTACAATTCAACTTAAAATAAGAAAGCCAGTCGATTTAAAACTCATGATAATTTATTTTGCATGATTTCACATCTGTTTATTTGGGAACACTGTGTGAAGATAGGTGGTGAGATTGTTTAATCGGAACGGTGGGTGGTAAGGTGCTAGAATAACATATGCGTTTGGGGGGATTTGGGTTTACAGTCTTTAACATAGAATATCTCCAGACCATGGCCATATACAAACGTGCAGTCTTCAGCAAAGTTATTCAAGATATCAAGACGTTATGGTTGGTGGACGCATTAGTTCAGAATTTTTCCGTACTGTGGCGCTAGTGTACGTTTAAATATACTGTATCAGTTTGAGAGATTGTCCATAGTAGTTAAGGTGAATTAACTGGTGAACTTAATAGTTCAGAATTCACTCACCACGCAGCGTAAGTATACATATTGAATCTGATGTATTATATCACGAGATCCTGCCTAGCTTTGAACTTTCCGTCTTCGGAAAAAATCTTCATGTAACTATGGTCGTTTGGTTGTAGAACAGATTAGTTCAGAATTCATTTTCCCAATGTTTCTGGGTGCATACCTATCAAACATTGCAAGCTGAATAAGTACCTATTCAGGCAATCATATGCTTCTTCAGCTAAAAAATAGCTTATTCAGTTTTTATTCAGCTCAAATTGTTTGTTGGGCGATGATTTATTTATGGGTACACATTTTTTTTTACTTACGGATACTTTGTAATTCCTTTGTTAATGGTACAATCGTTTATTTTAAAGGGGTTTGTTTACCGTTTTACCAGTGCAATATCTAATTTGTATGGGGACATTTTCTATGTTTCAGTTTTTCTGTAACCGGAAGTTGCTGGAATGTCCAGTCCCTACACGCCTCCCGATTCCTAGAATACCTTAATTTGATAGTATTTTTCAGTTTTTATGTAACGTGAAGCCGCCATATTGGATTTGAAAATGAATTCAGACATAAATTTCCAGTCCCCGATTAGAGATGAACTAGCCTAAGCCTAAAAATCTCTTTAATAAAGAATTTAAAAAAAAAATCCAGTCCCCGATTCTGCAAATACCCATATTGTGGGTGACAACATTTTTTAAATGTGGTTACGAAGTAAATCTCAAATAACGAGACTTGTTTTCTGTACTGCTTCGATTTTTGAACCCCCGGTTTGATTCGTAAGTGGAGGTTCCAGTGTCAACCGTGCGTCTCCATCGGATTTGAAAATTCAAACTCAAACAGCAAGCCAATTGTACGATGCACCGTGCGTCTCCATCGGATTTTTAAAATTCAAATAGGAACTTCAAGCCAGTTGTATGACCACGCCTTCCTTCGGAAAGGAAGTAATGCCGTTAGTCACCGGTCTATGAGTTAATGGATTGATAGGTAGGGTCCAGGTGTGAAAGCTGCCTCCTTGGCGTCGGTAGCATTGGTACTCCGAACGGAAAACAAATCAAGAAAAAAAAAGCAAGTCTGTTGGGCGAAACAGAGCGAAATGACTTCAACTCGGGGAAGTGACGAACCCAATAATGAAGAAAAATCGTGATATAGTAATTAGTGATTTTAGTTGAATGCCGGCTAAGTATTGAGGCTAATTATCCTTTACTCTCCCCCTCCCACCGAAGCTAGGGTAGACAGTGGGTGACGTCTGTTGCTTTCAGGGATTTCTTCAATAGCGATCGGATCAATTTACCTCTAGGTCAATATAGAGGCATCAGCTGACTTGGGTTCACTCAAGTACCCTATGGCCTTCCTGAGGCCTGTGTAGAGAATGAACATCTTGATGGATTTGTTTCAAATTGGATAAAAGGAGACATAAAAACACAATTTAAAATTACAACTTACGTATGTTTGCAATATACGCACAACTAACTATATATATACAAATTGTTTATCAAAGCATGTTCTGGTGTGTTGCATGCCTGCACAAATCTAGACTTTATGTAGAAAAAATCAAACCTAATTTTGCAACGTTCGGTGGAGGTCTGAAATTCTTGTGTAGAAGGAAATATCAAGGAACATCCTCATCACTTTATTCTGAGCGACCTGAATTTTCTTCTTATGAGTCTGTGCACATGATTCCCACACCGGAGCTGCGTAGATTATCACCGGCAGACCTTCGTCAAAATCTCATTCATTTTTCGTCAATGACAGGTCAATGGACATGAATACTTGTTCACTTTAACGGCTCCATGTAACTGTGTTACGCTAGTCATTTAATTTTGTTACAAATTTATTTAAAAGAAAACTGTACACATGCTTTTCCCTGAACACCAGGGCTGATAAAAATCATTTCTTCTACACTCAGCTTAGCTGAAAATAAAGTCAACCTTAACATATAGACCAACTACTTACATGAATCTGAATTTTTGACATAACAACATTTGTCAACATTTGGATTAAATGCAAAATGATTATTTTCATGTTACACAACTATAGCGCTGAAGGACGCGTCGTGTTAGTTTTTACACCTAAAGCAATGGAAAATGTTTGCCTCATGCTTAATTTATGATAAAATCCCGGTTTTAGGCACTGGAGTCGACAATATTCAAAAGACTCATTTTGCCCTAAATGAATTTGATTGTTTTCTTTAGAGGTTCATTTCTGATTTTGAAAATTTTGGGTTGGATAATCAAGCACTGGAGAATATCAACAACATTTAAATTTAAATTTTTATATCAGCAAGACATGTTTTTTTCGAATCAAACAATTGTTGCATAACGTGACATGATAAAACTTGTTAACACAGATGATTGAGCCAAATGACAAAATTTAGTTTAAGTATGATCGACTGAATAAGTTTATTAATAGTACAAAGTAGGGCCTTGAGAAAGGCATAGTAGGAGTAAAAACCATAATAGGGAGATCCAGTAAAAAAGTTTGAGAATAGAGAATAGTTACCAGCGCATATCCTTGAGTAGAATTTTTCGATATTATTCTCAAGCTGGTTAAGTAAGGGGAGATGCAAAGCCCTCAAATTCCAATATCAAACCGAATTGGAAATTAACCAGTAATATACCCCCATACGGTAGGAGAAAATACTCTCTTGACAACCTAATGTAGATTCTTATAAGTGTACCCACATTTTGTTTGTGTTAAAGTAGCTACAGTAAACAGACTTTTTACCGTCAGGTATCCAAATTGTCAAAAAATGGCCTATTTTCACCACCGGGGGATGGTACTTATTTTACATACTTGCGATTCGGTTTTACATAAACATCTGTTTGCTACCAGCCAAGTGAGGTAAAATATTTTTTAAATTGCTCCCAATGTTGAAAATATACCGCTTTTTATGTCCCAGGCAAATTTTGTCTTCTGAGCACAAATACAACTTACTACTTGTTTTGTTTTTTAATTCTCTAAATGCACACGTATAAGTGCAGGTTCGTCCACTTGTATTCGTGCAAGCCTAAAAATCAATACTAATACTTAGACATAAATATAAGTCTGCAACTGTTTCCGATGAGTAGTTTCAAATGCATATAAGAAGAACATGACAGTTACGTTCATAAATGGAAAGTGTGTTTTAAAAATAGGTTAATTTTCTTTATAACTATAATAAACAAAAAGCATTCTTTCTCATGAGAGTGTATCTAAAAAATAAAAAATAAATACTCAATTAAGAGTTTTTTTAGATTATTCAAGTAGCAGCTGTCATCCACATTTAAATTTTATATACCTGCTAATCTATCTGATTTCAGCGTACTTCTAAAGCACAACATTTTGGCTGTTTTCCATTGGAACGTATTTTTCACTTCTAACACCACAATTGAATTATTAACAGAAGTAAATAAATGACGAGCTAGTTATGATAATTTAAATATTTTAGTGCCATCGGTGGGAAGGAATTCAAAATTCTAAATAGCATTGCTTTTCCACCAGAAAAGCTCAAAACTACCACTCACTCATCTGGACACATATCTCAAAAACTATAAGTCCAAATCATTTGCCCTTGAAAACACATCTAGTAGAACAGTTTTCCAAAGTGTGGTGAAAAATTGAGCCCAAAATATAAAGAAATAAAAAATCCCGCTAAATTATATAAGGAAAATAATTAATTATATTGACACTTTTAGAGCGGGCTACATTAATTCTACAGCTCCCCGTAGCCACCCGGTGAATACGCCAATGTTTGAAACATGATGCAAAAACAGGGTCTCTACTTTTATAAATAATTTTCCCTGAGTTTTTCAGCTTTTTAATGGACAACTTCCAGGGTTTTGGAAAATCATTTTTTATAAAACTTTTAAAGATTAATTATGGGTAAAACAATAGCTCAAGTGCCATAACCCATATTTTTCATAAAACGTTTAAAGATACAGCTAAACAGCAGATCAAAGTATAAATAACATACTGTAAGTTATTTGCAATATGAAATGATGTGTCGAAATAACAACTAGTTTTGTTTTTGTTATAAAATGCACGTAAATGATATAAAAACCGCGAAACATGAAGTATATTGTCGATGTGCACTCAAAAAACGAAGCACTTATGCTTCAAGTTTGTATAATAATTATAGGCAAAATTTGATCCACAAAACTTCCAATCATTACTCTTTTAGAAAAATTCTTGGTGGCCCTGAAAAGGGCCGGTTTTTTGCCAGAGTTGATGATGTTGGTTTTTAACCTCCAAAACCGTACAGAGTGCGTCCTTGTCGCTTCAAAGCGTAGACGACATCCATAGCCGTAACGGTCTTGCGCTTTGCGTGTTCTGTGTAGGTGACGGCATCCCGGATCACGTTTTCTAGGAACACCTTCAGCACACCTCGGGTTTCCTCGTATATCAGCCCAGAGATTCGCTTTACACCTCCACGGCGAGCCAGACGACGGATGGCAGGCTTGGTGATGCCCTGAATGTTATCACGCAGAACCTTACGATGACGCTTGGCGCCTCCTTTTCCAAGACCTTTGCCTCCCTTGCCGCGACCAGTCATTGTAGCTTGATAGGTTGAACTGTGCTGAACAGATGAAATGAAACTTATCTCTACCCCAGCTCGATTGCTCTTATATACCTTCCAGGCTCTTGCAGCATCCTTTTGTGCTCAGTAACAATTGACTATACACAGGCAGGAGCACACTATAAAAGCAACCGTCAGCGAGGTCGACCCCTCATAGACAGTATCTTGCCGACTTTCAAACAACACTTGCAATGGCTCGTACCAAGCAGACCGCTCGTAAATCCACCGGAGGAAAGGCTCCTCGCAAGCAGCTGGCCACCAAGGCTGCTCGAAAGAGTGCTCCAGCCACCGGAGGTGTGAAGAAGCCTCATCGGTACCGGCCAGGAACCGTCGCTCTGCGTGAGATCCGCCGTTACCAGAAGTCAACCGAACTGCTGATCCGCAAGTTGCCTTTCCAACGTCTGGTCCGTGAAATCGCTCAGGACTTCAAGACCGATTTGCGCTTCCAGAGCTCGGCCGTCATGGCCCTGCAGGAAGCCAGCGAGGCCTATCTGGTCGGTCTGTTCGAAGATACGAATCTGTGCGCCATCCATGCCAAGCGTGTCACAATCATGCCAAAGGACATCCAGCTGGCTCGTCGTATCCGTGGTGAACGTGCTTAAATTATATCTGGTGTAAAGTGATCGCAAGTGTTTAAAAAAACGGCCCTTTTCAGGGCCACAAACCATATTTTAAAGAAAAGAGTTGAGTTTTATATTTTCGGTGATTTCCCATGATCATCATTAGTGCGGGAGATATATCGCTCTGTTTAAAAGTACTGCCATTATTCTCTCACGAATACATGAATAGCCTAGCGTTAACGAATACCGAAAACGAGAAACGACGGTTAACTGTGTATTTAGTAGGAAAAGATACTCGTCGCTAAATTGATTCCCAAGGGTCACAAACCGTATTTTTCAGAAAAGAGATGTTCAGTTATTTTCTATGCTTATCATTATTATTCATGCAGTACCGTAAACTGGGGACAGATTGAACACGTTCTACAGAACAATGAGAATATTTTCTTTGTTTGCAGCTTATTTCTTATTGATGCCACAGTTAGTTAGTTTAGCCTTATTATAGATACTTTACCTAACTAACTGTGTACCAGTACTGATTATAATAGTAAACTTACCTTTACCACTTTGCCTTATAGAATGTTTTATCAAATAATTGTCGTAACTTTTATTGTAATAAATGTTTATCAAACAATTCATGACATCACTTTGGGGCGAATTTAATTGTTAGTATTTTGATTGATATGTGTTGTTCATAATTTATTGCAGTTATTTTATTACCATTTAATCTTCTATAATGTCTGCAGAATGTGAGTTGATGTTCTTAAATGTCGTTAATATTGTTTATATGTGTGAAAATATGATTATTATCTTCCATTCGAAGTGGAACGAAAGATCAGTTCAAAGGATTGTAAGATTATTAACGTTTGTATGACCAACGCTTTGAGCAATGTAGGTAGAACGTGCCTTAAAATCATCATGTATTAATTAATTTTCGAATAGCAAGTCGATTTTCAACTGTTCGTTCGATCAATTGCTCCCGCTTTACGGTAACTAAACCACTCTGTTTGAAATTTTCTTTCTCGAATACATGAACAGCAGAAGCAAACGAATACAGTTAACGAGTTTTCGAATTCGACGGTTGAGAGTATACAAATAGATGCCATATAAAAACTGACTCACTTATACAAACTAAGAACCACCATCATTATTATAATCACCACATGGATGTTGGTTTGAACGCGATGACGCGCTTTTAGGTGTTTTTGGCGCAATAGCTGAACCCTCGTTGGTTTAATAACAAAATGATATATACACTGGTTGATGCCGGGTAGGTCGTTAATATTGGAAAATTAAATGGAAATGTAGTAAACAGATAGTCTTTAATCCATAGCTACGGTTCAGATTTAGAGTCAAATAGATAGATTTCCTCTTCAAACTGTCAAATAGTTTCAATAAATGTTTCACATTAGACCTAATCAAAACGAAATAAAGCAGCTTTGTAGCCACACCACTACAGCATCAATGATTATTAAATAAATATTCTTTGATCTTCAATCATGTTTATAAATTGCCAGATTAAGTATAAGAAATTCATTTTGCCCTAATTACGACTCCTTTTTCAGCGTAAGCCTCGAAATAGTATCCCAATATCTCAAAATCAGGGCAATCTGTGATTAAATCTAATATCCGGTGAAGCTTCAATAAAATAAACTCTTTTTCGAACTGTTGTGGTCGCCCTGAAAAGGACGGTTTTGTATGTTGGGGCTGGTTTTCGATCAAATTTAAGCCTTCTTTTCGGTCTTTTTGGGCAACAGGACGGCCTGGATGTTTGGCAGGACACCACCCTGAGCAATGGTCACTCCGGACAGCAGTTTGTTCAACTCCTCGTCGTTGCGAATGGCCAACTGCAGGTGACGTGGAATAATTCTGGTCTTCTTGTTGTCACGGGCGGCGTTTCCTGCCAACTCCAGAACTTCAGCGGCCAGATATTCCATCACGGCAGCCAAGTAGACGGGAGCACCAGCACCAACGCGCTCGGCATAGTTGCCCTTCCTGAGCAAACGGTGAATACGACCGACTGGGAACTGCAATCCGGCGCGGCTTGAGCGAGACTTTGCCTTTCCCTTAACTTTTCCTCCTTTGCCACGGCCAGACATGGTTCGATGTAGTAGGGTAGGCTACGATTTTTGAAAATGAAATGAGTAGCTGAAAGCTGAAATCGTACTTATGCCGTTTAGACGACACAGGGGTTTCTTATACCTGCGTCGAGTAGCATTTGATGTATACAAGGAGGGATCTACCCTAACAATGCAAGGCTGTAGCCAGGATTTGAACTAGGGGGTTGGGGGGGGGGGGGTTGAAATTTGTTTTACTGAGGAGAATTTGGGCGAATGCCAATAGACCGAACGCCATTTGGCCGAATGCTTTAATGTTGCTGCCCCTGCCCTCTCCTGGCTACGCCTTTGTCACTATATAAAGCAAAATACATGAAAAGGGAGGAGCGTTGGTTGCTGTTCAACGAGTATGAAATGATACGACCGTCTGTGTTGAAAAATATTAGTTTTTTCTCTACCCAAGCAAACAGCTTAACCTACAATGGCACCGAAAACCAGTGGAAAGGCCGCTAAGAAGTCCGGCAAGGCTCAAAAGGCCATCGTTAAGGGAGACAAGAAGAAGAGGAGACAGCGCAGGAAGGAAAGCTATGCCATCTACATCTACAAGGTGTTGAAGCAGGTCCACCCGGACACCGGAGTCTCGTCGAAGGCCATGAGCATCATGAACAGCTTCGTCAATGACATCTTCGAACGTATCGCTGCTGAGTCGTCCCGTCTGGCTCAGTACAACAAACGCTCGACGATCACCTCCCGCGAAATCCAAACCGCTGTCCGTCTGCTGCTGCCGGGTGAGTTGGCCAAGCACGCCGTCTCAGAAGGAACCAAGGCCGTCACCAAGTACACCAGCTCCAAGTAAAGTCGTGTCACCTTTTCAAACAATCGGCCCTTTTCAGGGCCACAAATCATTTTTAAATGTAAAAGAGTTTAATTTTGAAAACAATTTCTTCTTGATATGTACATGATTTAATGCATACCGCTGCTGAAATTGGTGTTTGTGTTCTGTTTTTGCAAATTGTTCATGCAAATTTCTTTGGCCACGGTACAATTATAATGAAATGGTGCAAACGCATGGTAGCTAGATGCGAAAAGCGTATGTTGGAATTCAATGACTGATATAATTACATGGGAAACGATAATAATCAATCCACCGTACACACTTAAAAATAACTAATTTTACACGTGATGGAATCCATCTTTGGCATATAGAATGAAACGTAAACAAGCATGTCATGTTATATTAAGTGCTCTGAGACCGAAATGTTTGTTACTCGACGAAAAACATTTTTGATTGAGATGAATGTTGAGTCTGTTATGGCTCAATTTTATGTTAAAATTGACGCTCGTATATATCAGTCTCTCTCTGGTCACGTCTCCCTTCGGAAGGGAAGTAAAGCCGTTGGTCCCGGCCCATGTGTGTTGTGAATGGGTGCAATATCCTACGCAGGTGTGGAAGCTGCCTTCCTGCAAATTCGGTTGCCGTCAATGGATGACAACCGATGTCCGTCGGTGATTGGCACTAGATTGCGGAACAGAGACCGACGTTAAATAAAGGAAAAAAAAAGATATATCAGTCTCAGAGCACATAAATTTACATGATTTGTTCTAAGTTTGTACCGTTTGAAAGAAGGACTGATCTCAAAAGTCGTTAATCTACCAAAAATTTAAAATAACTTAGCCATAGTAAGCTACAGTCACAGTGGTAGCTCACGGTTACTCCAAAAATATCTTTGTATTATTATTTACAGGAAAAACATTTTCAAGGAAATTACAGGAAAAACATATTTTCTTGTATGTTTTATAACTTTTTCCAATATGTTTAGAAAAATCATAACGTGTCAAAATCTTTTTTTTTTTCGTGGAGGCTAATTTTACGTTCAGATTTGAAATGTCTCGAGGAGCTTCCATATTTTAGTTAGTAACGGCATAGCTACAAAACAAAACCAAAAATTGCACATGCTTAAAAAATCACCTTTCAACAACTGTGCTAAAAACGGATAAGTTAAGTTTAAGCGTAAAACTTCACTTGGGACTTTATAGTCGTCATCTCTCAAAATTTCGCAGAAGATCATCATGCCACATCGATCTCAAAAGACCAGTTCGTGGCCAGCAGACCCAAGTAACAATTTCGGTTTTATAAGGGTTCTGTAGACCATGATTTAGACTTGAAGTATGCTTTAAAACCTCCATAAAACTTGCAATGTTACTTGGGGAGTGAGCATTAGACTGCTGCAAAATTTGAAATTTTCACTCCACATTGCTCAAACGGTTCCAAATTGGGCCCTGATTAGCCTCCCAAAATTTGAATTCATTTAGTGAGAAACTGACTTGGCACAAACCATTTGAAGTTTATGTGGGAATTACTATGGGAAAACCATAATTTCGGCTCATATCAATCACAAAATTCATCAGTTCACTCTACTACAGAGCTTGTTGAAAATTTTCTCAGCAACAACTTTGTTCAAGACCACTTTTCGATCAAATGTAAGGAACAAAAAATATTAATGATTCAAGTCACTGATGTCTTATGATATTATGCTCTATCAACTGTACAGCAGGCAACATTGGTGTTTATGGCGCGTAGAATAGAGGACAAAAATCATGGCTACTATGTTACACTGCAGAATACAGTGTTGCCCACAATACAGTTGCTTAATCTTGCCATAAGATTATCAATCTCTTATACAATTAATAACTATTTAATTTGACGTTTGGCTGAAGAACGATTTTCTGCAAAGTTGTAGCTGATAAAAAAAATCGCATAAGAATAGCAATAGAATTTGTTAACAGTACAATATGTAAAAAAGCTAAAACACAATGAACAAAAGGTTTTGTTTTCCCATAGTAATTTCCATATAAACTTCAAATGGTTTGTGCCAAGTCAGTTTCTAATCAAATGAGTTTAAACTTTCGAAGGCTACTCAGGACCCGATTTAAAACCGTTTGAACACCCAGGGGTAAACCCGTAGGTCCCCGGTTCATGAG